GGTGAGAAATATTTTTCTTTGAATTTGTTAGTTTCCTGAACTGTGAGTGTTTATAATGTAAACCCTACTTGTTAATGAAGTTTCATATACATCTGCTACACAGTTACAAGTAACTAACTTACCAGATGAATGTAAATTGGGAAAATGGTGTTGTAGAAGCCAAAGGTCACTCTCTATTCCAGTACTAAATTCATTGTAGCCTGTGGATTTTTTCTGTATTTTCAGCACCATGATTTAGAAACAAAATCCGTTTCTTTATGGTCGTCAGATCCCAATACTCTAGCAAAGAAGTAAAACCTGCAAATAAAAGTAACCTGAAGAAGCTTCAGGTGAAACTAAGTAACTGTGAAAATGTAAAATACTTGATATCGTGGAATTGTTAATAAAATTACTGAACAACTAGAAAGTCTCTAGCACAACAGAAAATGCCCTTATGCTCAAAGTACTGAATAAACAAGGTTGAAATAAGTGCAAAGGTACAGCACTGCTTTTGTGTACGGGCAAAGTTTTCTGCACTTTAAGGAAACAAAATTACTGTGGTAAAACGAAGGAAAAAGTAAGCTGGCTTTCAGCTTGAAATGAGACATTAGATAGGTTTTTTTTACTCTGGGAACATCAGGTTAGAAAAAACATTTTAGTAGGTAAAGCAAGTAAAAATTCTTTTTCATCATAGGTTTTTAAGAAAGCATGTGGTAGTCTGTGATATGATTCATTCTGGGGCATCTTGTAGCATATCAAGAAAATAACGTAATTAAGACCTGTTTGTATCAAGTTGCAGCTTGTATAGTTATCAGTGCTATCAAATGAGCATGTATCCTACCTGTCTTTACCACTTGCCTTAATTAAAGCAATAGTATATTTGATAAATGGCATCAGGTGATTTATATAGTATTTTAGATTATTTGGATTTTGTTAACTAAAGAGTTCTTTAGAGTGATCATTCAACCACCCATTAAGCAAGGCTAAAACACTGTCCAAAAAAGGATGGGATTATTTATTGTGAAAAAATAAATCTGGAAACCCGAGAAATCTCTATTGTTTAGTTACCTTTCCACACTTGTCCAAATTATAAATCAGCAGGAATGTCAGCAGAAATGGCCATGTGGCAACTGCATTTACCAGGCTGAACAAAGTTGAGGTGTGGAGAAACTGTAACTCAAAGCCCTGTCACCTCGTTCTATTTCCAGACTAACATGTGGTTATGGAAGCTGGAAACGTGTAAAAGGTATAAGCAGACATCAAAATGCCTTTGAAACCAAATGTCACAGGAAAATATTTGGTGTATCAGAGGGAATGATTTTATAATGAATGCTGGGATCTGTCAGAGTTTCAACAACTCCATTTGACTTCATGCAGGAAAAAAAAATGTGAGGGATATATTTGGGGTGCATTATGTAAGATTTAGGGTGGAAATACGTGCATATGTGTTCCATATATTTCCTATGCAGTGAGTTCCACACATTCCGAGTGCATCAGATGTCCTTACTGTGCGTGCACAGATTGTTGGCATGCTGGCCAGGCTGTGGGGCCTCTGGAAATCTTGGATTGATGCCTAAAGCTCTTCTGGTCTCATGTTCTGGGAGGGTTGGGAGGAAAAACGAAGACCTATTCTGGGAAGTTTGGTAAACCAGAAATTACGAATGGGTCCAAGAAAGAGAAAACTCTTCAGGAAAAATGTACAGGGGCGTTTCCCACCTGTGGTCCGTGGAGCCATAGGAGCAGGACTGCTTTTAAACATATATGAGAGATAATTAAGAAGAACAAATCTACAGTCAATCAGCATCTGTTTGCTGCATAGGGATCCAAATTCCTGCTTATGAGAGGTTTTGATTTGAGGGAAGGGGTTGTGGAAAAGCTAGAAAAGAAAAGTTAAGTAGAGGTTTGGAAAATACTCATTTATGCATGCTGAAAAGAAAAACTGAGACAACATCAGAAAGGGAGCCTTGTTCATGCCCTGGGCAATGTTATATGACATGAGAAATAATTGGATTCAGATGATATTTTGTGGTAAACTTGTTTTGGCATGTGGTAAACTTCCTTAATTTTGGTTATCAAAGTTGTTCTCATGCTTTTTCTGAAAGGCAAAATATTTTAATACCAAGGATTAATTGTTGCTCTCTTATCTAGTTATTGCAGGTGCTGGATGATTTACTGCTGTTTTTTCCTCTTGTTCTCTAAAATACTAAAAAATCTCTGAAATACTCTACAGGTTTCTTTTTAAAAAAAGGAAAAAAAAGGAAAAAAAACAAACAGCATTTGCTGTGCTCCACTACATTATAGTCATCTAGGAAATATAAAGTTATATAAAGGATTATTAGATCACCTAATTAGA